TTACAAAATTAATGTGAAGAGATAAGAAGGATTTTTCATTTATTTTAACTGCAGATGTCACAGCCTCACAGGTAAGAAATAACATTTTTAATTCACGAATTCACACGGATTACATGTTCTAGATTATATTTTATCAATAGAATGGGCTAGAATTAACAAACTTTATTCACAATTCCTCTTTGTGTTGAATTTACAAATAATATATATATGTGTATGTATTTTTATTATTTATAGTATGGCATTTTTATCAGATGAAGGAAAATATATAAATAAAAAAAAATGCAAGTATTAAACCATCTTGAAGATAGTATTCATCGACATCTCGAATTCCTTATCTGACATCATGTTTTTTACCTGAATTTAAACACCAACAATTTTTCATTTGCATTATGGCATTTACTTATGAAAAATGGATATGACATTTTAATATGATCACGTGGGATGAAAAATTGGTGTTATTGGGGAAGAAATTGAAATACGATTAAATCATTTGAATTAAAGTAATAAAATAAAGATTTAATTTTTAATATAAAATAAAGAAGTACAGAGTTTAAAGGGAGCAATTTCTCGTTCCCCAACCAATTTTTTTATAAAAAGCGAAGCTTTTTTTGTTTTTTAAAAAAAAAACTTTTGTATCATTTGTTATTTGTTATAAGATAAATTATAGAAAAAGTTGACTATCTATCTATGTATATTTGTATTAGTTGCTTATTAAATAACTGCCATTAATTATAGATCACGTTAGGCGCGACAAAAAAAATGTAAAAATAAATAATCAATCAATAAAAACTGATAAGATTATCGCACAAAATTTGAAAAATCAACTTTTCACGAACTCTTTTGCCTTTTTTAGCCTCCGTTTTTATGCTTTGTACTTGCTTTGTATAAATTAGAGAAAAAAATTTTTTTTTTTTTAATTGTTTATGTGTACATGCTTAATAAAAGATATTTTTTACGTACTCTATTCTGAATAAAAACATTTTTCTCGCTTATTTCAATGAAATATATGCTTTATTATTCGTAATTAAGATCTCAATTTCTTGTCAGAGAAACCAGCCATTCTTCTTCGTCTTTCCTCCTAATCTTTTATTCTTTGATCTGTTGGAGCCTCTCAAAACTAAAGGGTTTGAAGAGATCTTTGATAGAATAGACTCAGAACACCGCCACAAATGAGAGACCGGCTGTAAATTCTTTGCTGTCAAGATCTATTATAGCCTTCTGTAACGTGAATCCCTGGCTCTTGTATACGGTAATGGCCCATGCGAGACGAACAGGAATCTGTAGTCATGAACATAGTATTCCGGAATTATACTCCCAGTTACGTCGAATAACTCTTTGTGCCCTCTAAGCTGGTAAGAGTAGGACCTTCGTAATTGACGTACTCACGAACTTGTATGTGTTCAATACTGGATTTTTTGACATCATAAAATAAATAAAAAAAAATTTTTTTTTTTAAAAAAGTCTAAATTCTTTTCAATTCTTTGTCAAAAGAAGCCAAAACTGCCACAGAAAGAGAAGGCGGCCCTTGATCTCCTCTGAATAAAATATCCTGACTGATCCCATCGCACCATTAACTTATCCAGCTTCCGTTCACAAGTTTGCCGTCAGCAAAATACGTGCACCTCTTGTCAGTAACAATTTTATTTCACGGTCTATGTGCAACATCATAATTTGCTTTTTCGGCTTCGTTGCTGATTGTATGTACAGCATGAATTTTAGCAACAGGAGCATTCAGTGACCTGAGCTTATCAATGTTGACTGCATCAACACCTTCCACCTCGTTAGCATGAACATAGAGTTGAAGAATCTTAATCTTTATTCTCTATTATATCTATCTTTCCTTCAAATAGTGTAGTAAGCACCTTCCAGTCATCTAATATAGACTCTCCATTACGCAACCGTAAGAGAAGGCCACTAAAGTTTTGCTGCTCTTTTGGTATTCCCAGATTGGCGTTGAACAACATCAAGTTTGTATACTTCTTTAAACTGATGGTATGCTGCGATACCGTTATTAAACAATTGATCTTGCGGAATGTTGGTATACATAGGAAGATCAAGCACAGACGGAGGTTGTCCAAAGTCATAGCTGTTCTACTACCAAAGGGTTCATTACTATGTTCTTGCTGAGTCTCATGTCGATTAATCCAAACATTCGGCAACTGATTATACTTTCTCATCGATTACAATATAGCTGCTGTAGCTGTTCACCATTAATGACAAGACTTCTATTAGCAATTTATTAGGATGGAAAGCGCTGAATGGATTGTAATCCCATTGATGTTGAAAGCTACATCTGTTGGCGTAAGAACAACTCAGACCCGACTCCTATCATCTCACGAAGTTTACTTCATATTTCATTATTGAAGTATGTTTTTCCATTTCCTGCAGTCCGCTCAATTCGATGGTCTTTAAGTATATCGTTGTAATGCGACTCTATTCGCTTGAAGGCCATCATTTAATATCTGATAATCCAAGGTACCTGTATTTAGAACGTTATTTTCTTGCCAATTAATGGAAACTCTACTCACAAAAGTATCTGCTTCCAGAAAGTCTGTATTGGAATATCTTTGCCTAGCTTCGTTAATCCAATCGTAGCTCCAATCCATATTTCGTAAACCTAGGTCGGAAGGACTGTCGATGATTGCATTTCTGCTAGAAACATCCAATCAAATCAAAATTCGTCGTTATCATCATCTTTGAGAGTAGGGATTGGAATCAATTCCCATTATTAGAATCGATTCTAAAATCGATTAATCGCGATTAATCGTTTCCGATTTTTTTTTATACTATTTATAATAGGTGTGTTTAAACACATATTATGTGATTACAAAAAATTACAGTGATCGACGAACAAATTTCCTTTTTTGGAAATTTGTACAACCTTGTGCGATAGCAACTTGAATTTTATTGGGAGATAAAATTTCCTTTTTAGGAAGTTTGTGTTCTGTCACATGATTCGCGAGCGGAATTATGAATTTGGCCAAAATTAACTATTATGAACAAATAATAATTTACGGTCAAATTAACGGAACTGCGCCACAATAAGTAGATTCGATTTTTATTCGAGATTCGATTTAAAATCGATTCTTATCAATTTTCGATAGTTTCGATTTTAATCGAATCTTTTCCGATCCCTATTCGAGAGTTTCTTCATCCTTTTCATCAACAATTTCGTTTGGTTTGTTATTTACGGGTGCCCAAGCATATCAATTAAATCAGCGTTTGATTACTTCAATATGGCGGTCGTATAAAGCTGACTATGGAATGTCTCAGTCAATTGTTGAAGATCTTAATTCTGAGGCAAAACTCTTCCCATTGAGGGCCTTTACACAAAGGTAATTGCGCAGAAAGTTACGTATTATGTTTGAAATACGTAAAATCATCAAATTAAGCAGGTCAATCTTAGTATCTCTTTAAAAATGATTGTTCCGCCCGTCCAGAATCGACTATATTAAACTCTCCACTTTCTCTGGTGCCACGAATCCACCTTAGCGTTTTCTTATTAAGATTCAAGCATACAGATGTCCTACTTGAATGGTAGAGGGGAATACCTAAGAGAAGGTGGAAAGTTTTTTGAGCAGAAATATTGTTTTGCGGCTTGCGTACTTTGAAACATACTGCAAGGCTACATGAATAACATTTGCTCGCCAACCTTGCAATTGAAGCCGGCTATGTTGGTTGACCAATGGGTCGCCTTTTGACTTATAAGTTCTGGCTGATCACGTTCCTCTTCATGTACGAAGGTACGTTTGACACTTTCCTTTGGGTAATTGAATTTGCAAAGGCAATACGAAGGACTATAACGTGTGTGTCATTGCAGCTTATTGACAAAGATAATGTAATCTTGTTCATCATCTTTTGCTTTTTTAAGGTACGTTAAGACCTGGATTTATCGTTGTGACGAGCGAATCAAGATATTGTGCTACATTATTCATCTCGTTTTCATTCGGGTCCATTCTATTTTAGTTGCGTTTCGTCTTTTTCCGATTCCATGCACATGGACACTACTCAGTGTTACCACTTGAAACTGTACCACCAATCTTCTAAATTCCATTGGCGTTTTATAACATCTTAAAGAAAAAATTACAATTTGTAAGTATTACGAATCTTAGTAGCTTTTTTTTTAATATTATGGAACGGTTTACTAACCGTTCTTTTTTTATATGTTTCGGGTAGATTTCCGAAGAACGGAAAAAGTGGAACCAAGATTATTTAGCGTCAAAAAATTTTTTTTTTCTTGACATTATGGCTCGTCCATTGGTAACCTTATTTGGGAGTTAATGCTTCTGGCAGGACCTGTTAGTAATTTTCACTGCTCATTTTTATTTTGTTATAAGTTCAGCATTACTAATCAGAAAATATATTTTAACTTCAAGTCAATGTTTACTTACCAGAAGATCGTGTAATTCAAACACATCAAAATTATGGATTTTGTGAGTATGAGTGAAGAGGATGCAGATTATGCTATTAAAATAATGAATCAAATCAAGCTCTATGGAAAACCTATTCATGTCAATTAAGTAAGCTGAAACATTTTGTTTTGTTTTTATTGTTTGCTGTGTAGTATTGACGCTTTGTCGTATTATTATTAGGCAACTTCAGACAAAAAGAATTTGGACGTAGGCGTTTCATTATTTATAAGGAACTTGGATTCTGGTGTTGGTGAAAAAATGTTGTATGATACGTTCAGCGCTTTTGATGTTATCGTACATACTCCCAAGTAGTGCTTCGATCTGGATGAAAACTTGAATATTTTCATATGACGATTATGGCTGAGAAAGATTATGAATTTCAGATTTAAACAGACTATAACATTAAAGTATTATTATCCCAAAAATTTATACTAATTCTGGCCAAACTCATAGTGCCAGCGAAATTTAATGAAATTCAATCTGGATGAAAATCCGGATAAAACCGCTATGGATCGAAGCACTACTCCCAAGGTATTAATATAGATTAATAATCTATCGAGTTCATTTTGCATATTTAATTTTATTTAGTCGAAATATTTAATTTAGATTACATGACTGGTAATAGTAAAGGATATGGGTTTATTTCATATGATAATTTCGATTCTTCAGATGCGGCAATTGATGCAATATCTGAATAAACCAATTACTGTATCATACGCATTCAAAAGGGTAAAGGTGAAAGACATGGAAGTGCTGCAGGTTCGAATTTCTTCTGAATAGAATGTATTACTTTCAATTGATCATTTTTTTTTATTGGCATACCTTGAACGTTCATTGCACCAAAGCGAAGAAAATCAAAGTCTTTGTTTGCAGATGTTCGTCCACCTACTGTTCCACCTCCAATGATAGTAGCGTCAGGCGTATTTTTATTTGATATGTTGTTTATCAAGAAAACGGGTAAGGAATCTAATTTATTTACATTACAATGCTATATCACTTAATCATGTTCATTTTCATTTTCACTTTATTATGCAATTTATTTGAAAAAATATTTTTTGAATGTCATAGAATACTCAAAAATTACAATTCGTAAGCATTACGAATCTTTTTTTGTTTTTTTTTAATATTATGAATCGGTTACTAACCGTTCTTATTCTTTTTTTAATAGGTTTGGGTGGGCTTCTGAAGAACAAAAAAGAACTAAGATTTGTAAGTATTATGAATCTTAGCAATTTTTTTTTTAAAAAAAAGAAACGTTATACTGTATTAACGTTTCTATTTCGTTATTTTGTAAGAACTCCGAGGCCTTCTTTCTCTCTTCCTTTCTGAATTTTCTTCAGCTTTGGTGATTTTCTTTTGTAGAGCGTGTAGATCAGCGTCTTGGAATCGGTAGTTTTATTTTCTTATTATTAATTTTTTTCTTTTAATTTGTAGAAATCGACAGATTCGCACTTCCTGGACCGAATTGGTAGGTATTGAAGTGTTTCACTTCAAAACTTTTTTTAAAAATTTTTTTATTAATTTTTTTCAGTTATCTTTTTTTTTGTAGGTTCAGCTTCCTTAAACTTTCTGGATCCTGGATGATAGGATCGATTGGTAAGTTTTAAAACAGTTCGTTTTGAAACTTTTTTTTTAATTTTGTCTTTCCGAATTTTATTTCAGGTTGGACTTAGACTTGGACTTTAATTTTTCTTTAGGTATAGTGAGACGGATGCGGATCACGTGATTGTGAAAATTGTGGATTACTATGTTGACTTTTTTTATTTTGTAAAATCTTACATTGATTTAATAAAAACCTAATTTTTTTGACTAAATATAGTTTCACATAATTGTTTAAAATTAATTGTATAGTCATTAAATATAGCTTTAATTATTAACAAGTTAACAATATATAACTTATATATAGGTTATTTAGATAAATTAGATTAAATTGTAAATTAATACTAATAAAAAGTAATTGGAATTGCAAAAAATTTGATAAATAAAAACCAGTTATCAAATTTTATATATTCGTTGCCAAATAGATTGTTATTATATATATAAAGCATTAGCTTTTTATTTTATTTGCTTGTTTCACAATTGATTTTTTAATTCAAAAAAAAAAAAATTTTAAAATAAAATTTAAATTAAAAAATTGGATGATTATAAATTAAAATATACATTATACTAATTTTATTAAAAAAATCTATTTGTTAGTTGTTAAAAAGTTGAAATTAAAGTTTCTATTTAATATTAATTTATAAAGATTATATTTCATACTATAGTATTTAATATCATAATTATATAATTAATGCATTTTCTTATTTATTATTACCTTAACTTTTTATTTTATATGAATTATTAATAATTTGGTTAAATTGATATTATTAATATAATAATTATATTTCAATATAAAATATAAGTATATACTTTACAAATTTTTTTTATTTTGCAATATTTGCAAGAATAGTACTAACCAAATTTTTTTTTCCACATGTTTTTAAGATTACTAAAAATATTAATTAGAATAACTAAACTTCTTTGATAATTTAAGCTATAATTTTTATAAAAATATATATTATAATATTAAATACTACCAGTAGTACATGTATATTTTAGTAAATTTTATTTACAAAAATACTAAATAACAACCAAATTAATTAAAGATATATTTTTATATTTAATTTTTTATTATAATATATAGTTAATTGTTAATAACATAGTGCAATATTAAATTTTTTAAAAAAAAACCAATTATAAAATTTACTTTCTTATTTATTGCATTTTTTGCATTTCCAATTACTTTTTGCCAACAATTTACTTATCAAAATAATTAAATAAAAGTAATTAAAATTTGATTTTAAAATGAATAAAATACAAGTTTATAAACTTAAAAGTCAAATTTTATTTTATAAATTATTAGTACTTTAAATATAATATTATTAGTTCTACTGAAAAAAAATTTTTACTTCAAAATAAAAAAGTTCTCATAGTTTATAGATATTATGCCACTATATAATATTTATATTATCTATTTATATATATATTTTTTTTGTATCATAATTTTTATGAAGAGTTTTTACTTTTTAGCCTAGAACTAGCTGATTCAGTCCTAAATTTATATGAAAAGCATTTTAGTGATTTTATAAAAGATTCAAAAAAATGATATACTGTATATGTAAATTGTAAATAAAAGTTTTTTTGAAACTTTTATATTTATGAATTATATAATAAAAAATTCTGGATTTTTGCTAAAAAGAAAAATAACAGTACAAATACTCTTATATAGTAATCAATTCAAAGTTTCTAAATAGCAGACCCAACCAAAAAATCCCCATATGTACCATTGTAATACAATTAAAAATTTACAAATCTAAATATATAAAAAAAAAAAATTTTTTGTATTATGGAATTTTTTTTAATATTTCTTCATTTTTCTCTTTATTCTCTTAAATTTTTTTTTTCTTGTAATTAACATATTTCAATTACTATATAATATTATTTTTAAAAAATATTTAATAAGTTCATTTTTTAACAGATTAACTAAAAAAAAATGTCCAAACTTAATTATTATATTCTAAGAATTACAAGATGAATTGATGAATTTACTAACTAAACTCTTAGTTTCAAGCTGATTAGAATAAACTTTAAAATTAAATTTTCCATCAATTGAAAAAAATTTGAAGTCTAATTTTATTTAACAGTTTCTCTAATAGAAGCAAAAATCATGAAAGCTATATTCATCATAAAAAGTCGCATCAGAAATTTAGATATACTGATGGTCAAAATCAGACTTACTAATTAATATTAATATATATAGTAAATCCTAATGTAAGTCTTACTGATGAAGAAATTATTAATTTGGTACAAGCTGATTAATTAAGTAATGATGATGAAAATACCTGCAATATCAGTAAAAAAGCAGTTGGTGGACTAGAAACTTTTAATTAATTTTTTTAAACTGAATTTTACCCATAGAAAATATTTACAGGTAGTTAGAGTGAAAGAGTTTAATTCGAAAAGCAAAGTACACGATTTATTTGTGATATGGAATAATTGTATTTTTTTTTAATGTAATAAGATAATGCTGGTTGAAAGAAAATAACCGTTATTACATAGACATTATAATCGATAATGAAATTCTTCAATCCTTGCCTTTCGATGGTTCCATTGATAACCGGCTTCATTTCGCAGCGCTATCGTCTGTTTTGGCTCTGGTTCGGGTCCTCGATTAAACTCGATTCAGAAAACTCGCGACATCAAATTATGTTTCTTTCCTGGTTAATATTAGCAAGAACACGAAATTCTGAACGTTGTTCAACCGTTGTCAAATCCATTAAACGTGTAATGATATTGCGGTAAAATACTCGAATAGTTGCTGAAGATTTGGATCATTATGAGGAGGATGATGTAATCACGCGTACTTTCGTCCTTTGGTTCATCACGAAGATGTCGTCATCCAAAACACCCTTAACCGTATGCGAAAAGAAAAATATCCTATGGAATGGCCACATATAAATAATCATCCCATCAATGAAATCCAAACGCCAGGCCAACATTATACCCAACTAGATGCGCAGATCTTTCGTGCGGAGCGTATTAAAAATGTAAAACCTGCACCTGTATAAAGAAAGGAGATTTGCATGCTATTCCCATTGGTAATAAATACTTTGCTCCGAATTCTCAAATGCATTGGCGAACACTACAAGAAGGGAAGGTGTATTTTAAATAAACCTTGCCGATGCTCAAATCACTCTACGGCTCTACGCGGTTCTCGACACATGATTAAACAGATAGGTCCAGAAGGGTTGATGTAAGTTTGATGTTCTTCACATTAAGTGCTGTAGACCTACATTGGCCCGAGCTCCATAAACTCATGCCGTCTAACGGAAATCCTGCAGATGGGTCGACTACTGGTCCCAATCTCCAAAACATTATCGATAATCCCCTGGTTTTTCAGTAAGCGATTTAAGATTATTGAGTATTCTATGACATTCAAAAAATATTTATTCAAATAAATATGATTAAGTGATATAGCATTATAATGTAAATAAATTATAATATTATACACATAGATTCCTTACCGTTTTCTTGATAAACAACATATCAAATAAAATACTCCTGACGCTCCGTTCATCATAGATAGATAGTCTAGGCGATGATTGTGTTGCTGTTTGTGTATTTGTCCCTGGCGCATGATATCCTCCGTGTTGGAGAAACGATTGGAAGTGGTATGCCAGGACGAGACATTCCAGTATTTATTTGTTGTGGTGAAGCTGGCGAACTCCTATCATTGGAGGTGGAACAGTAGGTGGACGAACATCTGCAAACAAAAGACTTTGATTTTCTTCGCTTGGGTTGCCAATAAACGTTCTAGGTATACCAATAAAAAAAAATGATCACCCATTGAAAGTAATACATTCGATTCGGAAGAAATACGAACCTGCAGCACTTCCATGTCTTTCACCTTTACCCTTTTGAACGCGTATGATACAGTAACTGGTTTATTCAGATATTGCATCAATTGCCGCATCTGAGAATCGAAATTATCATATGAAATAAACCCATACCCTTTACTATTACCAGTATCGGGATCTCATGCAATCTAAATTAAATATTTCGACTTAATAAAATTAAATATGCAAAATGAATTCGATATTCGATTATTAGTCTATATTAATACCTTGGGAGTCTGTACGATAACACCAAAAGCGCTGAACGTATCGTACAACATTTTTTCACCAACACCAGGATCCAAGTTCCTTATAAATAATGAAGCGCCTACGTCCAAATTCTTTTTGTCCGAAGTTGCTTAATAATAATACGACGAAGCGTCAATACTACACAGGAACAATAAAAGCAAACCAAAATGTTTCAGCTTACTTAATTGACACGAATTGGTTTCCCATACAGCTTGATTTGATTCATATTTTAATAGCATAATCTGCATCATCTTCACTCATACTCACAAAATCCATAATCTTTATGTGTTTGAGTTACGAGATCTTTCGGTAAGTGACATTGACTTGAAGTTAAAATATATTTTCTGATTAGTAATGCTGAACTAATAACAAAATAAAAATGAGTAGTGAAAATTACCAACGGAAGCCTACCCGAAACCTATAAAGAAGAATAAGGACGGTTAGTAAACCGTTCCATAATATTAAAAGAAAAACTGCTAATTGCTTACGAATCTTAGTTATTCTTACGAATCTTAGTTCTTTCTGTAATTCTGTTCTTCGGAAGCCACCCGAGCCGTTCCAGTTTTTCCTTATTACCACGAACCCGTTTCGTCCGGCAATACCTACAAGAAAAAGAAAGAAAAAGAAACGTTAAAACGCTTCTAAAATAAAAAAATGACTCCCTCTCCCATTTACCTTAATTCCGGTTCGTAGTTTCGACCGGCGTTCCCGTTCATATATATCAAATACAATAACGATAACAACAGTCATGGAAATGCTCCAAACTCGGGAACTCGAGGGACTTGAGGAAAAGGAAGACTAACGCGTGACGTTTGATTAATGCACTATTCGATCTAATCGTAGATCATTACTAATTGAGGTTAATGATATTTTAAAAACTATAAATTCTATATAAAAATAAGTTAAAAAATAATGTTATGATATAGTCAAGGAAATTAATGATGAATGGTCGACCATTTTGAAGAGTTTAAATGAGCACTCAGCCGCTGATGTGACGGGAATTACCTATATAATGATCAAACGCCTACCCCCTCAGCTTCAGAAATTGATTCAGGAGTAACACTTCTTTCAGGGCAGATACCAGAGAAATGGAAATGCTCAACCATACTTCCGATCCCCAAGCCTGAGAAGTTTAATTACAATATGGCCAATGTTAGGTCCATAGCTCTTTTGGACACTTTCAGGAAAATTTTAACTAAAACCTTAAGCATGCGTTTGGACATCATCTTTTCAACTAACAACGACACTTTATGTCCACAAAATTACTGTGGGCTCCCAGGAGACTCTACATCGACGCCCATACATGTTTTAAATAACATTATTGAGTATGCCAAAACTAATAACAAACAATTATGGATTATGTTCCAAGACATATCGAAAGCCTTTGATTCCATCAGCATCACAGGTCTTGATTTGGCCCTACGAAGATTAGCCCTTCCTGATCGACTTGTCGACCTGGTAATAGAAATTTTCAATGGTAGAAATGCCCGAATCCTAATTGCTTTTGGCCCCACCAGATCCTTTAATGCAGGAGATGGAGTTGATCAAGGAGATAGCCTTTCGTCATTATTATGGCGAATATACTATGATCCACTGATCCGACCCAAATACATGGATCATTTATAAGAAGTCTGTCACTGTAACCGCTTATACAGCCTTTATTGAAACTTCTAAAGAGAGAATGCAGGAAGTTTTGAACATTGCTAACTCGTTTTATGCTATGATGGATATTAATATCAACGTGAAAAAGTGCGATCTGTTGGTATTTAATTCACCACTTCCCAAGGAATAAGACATCATTAGGACCTCCACAGGGAAATAAGATACCTTGGGGTGTGGCTTGTTGAAAAGAAAGCAAAGTTCTTGAATAAACAGCGAATAATCGGAATCAGGGATGCCTTCATACAGACAATTGGGAAGAAATCACTTTCCATCGCTCATGTAGTCTATTTAATCAATAAGGTTCTTTACCCCAAGATAGCCTAATAAAAATCAGTTGGGTTGGACCATAAATCTGCCCTCATAAGGCGCGTGGGAATATCTTGAAGGAACATCAATTCTAAGTGTTTAAACCATGTGGCTTTTCTCCCTTGGCTGAGAGGCTGGAGAGTAATCTCGATTGTGTCCATGAGAGCATGTGTCTTCCATCATGTACGGTGAGTTGTGAGGTGAAGAATAACGGGTGTCTGTCCGTGTGTCTATTCATCGTTAACAATGATGACGGCGTAAAGCGTTTTGTCCATTCATCAATTATCTTGACTCCTCTCCCATTAATTGTGAAAGACTTCGTCATAACTTGTTCTACATTGAGTCGCATCCTCATGTCATATGTAAGTAATAGGCAATATACTGCAAAGTTGTTTCTTGTTATAATTGTTATTTACAGTTTCCGTCTAAAGATAGACGCACAAAAGAATGGGCTATAGTCAAAAGAATACAAAGGGTGGCAAGCCGCCAAAATTATTGAAAAATCGCAAAATTCCGAGTCGCTAACGGTGGAAATCTGTCATATAACAGAATTCGAGCCTCAACTAGGTAATTTATATCGGCTAGAAAAACCGAATTCCAAGATTACAAAGGTAATACATAGAAGAGCAGCAAGAGTTGTTAATCAGACCATTGACAATGGTCCCGTAACCATTAACACTCCGATGAATATCACAGACTCACAACAACTACGATCAATCTCGACTATTAACAGATGGGAATCTGACACAGATAATTACATAATGATGGATCATGTGCAACCCATAAAGGAAAACAGGAATACGGAGTGGTAATTAATTGATACATAAATTGCAGTAGCAGACAGATTTAGACAGATACAAAAGTGGTTTGGCTCCTCAGAATTAGGTAAATCCCTGATGGCTACTAAAGATCGTCTATCGAACTTGGATCAATTACACTTCTACACTGACGGTAGCCTCAAGAAGCATCATTACCGCACAATCCAAGACGGAAACGCTATCCTAAATAATAGGTGGGATTCAGGTACTTATGAAGTTATTCAGGGAGCTGCCTTTATAGAGACCACGACATAAGAATCCTTAATCTCACGTATTGATAATTGCCATCCTCAACAAGAGCAGAGATCTATGCAATACTCTTAGCCTTACTTACTTGCTCACCAAACTCAAAAGTGTATATATATACAGATAGCGCAGCTGCGATTCAAGCAATTAATAGTTTTCTTTATAGACGAACGAGATTATAATAATTCTTTACTTTTATTTAAAATTTTTAGGGTAGTTAAGGAAAATAATTTAGATTTAAATTTACACAAGGTCAAAGGACATAGTGGGAATTTATGGAACGACAAAGTAGACGAATTAGCCAAACAAGCTTCTTCTAGTACTTCAGCTTCGAATATTGTACAGTTCAACCAGGGCCATGATGGTTTAAATTTCGTTCCAATGATAAATGAGGTGCCAGTGGAACAAAAACTCAGAAAATTTGTGAAGAATGTAATGAACTTCGTTAATGATGGACAATGGAGCCAACTGAGCTGTAATCAAGATGCTCTACTGGACAGAACAAAGGATTACGATTGGGATATTACATGGAATGCTCTAAAACAAGTTAAACATTTTAAGTGCACAAGTTCCAAACACAACAAGTTATGGGCTTTATGGGCTTTTTGGTTCAAATTATTAAACAACCTTCTACCGATCGATAAGACCCTTAAATTGCGGCACCCGAACTTATATAAAAATTTCATCTGCCCGATGTACAACTTAGTAGACGAAATGATATCACACATTACTTCCTGTACGGGTTCCCCCACAACTGAAGCAAAGGAAAAATTTATACAAATCTTCGCAAATCCTTGCTTGATATATTAAGAAAAGATTTATTTTTTTTTTTTTTTTTTTTTAACGAAGTCAACTTTATTTAGAAATAAGAAAAATTACAAAAAAGGAAAAGATCTACATTATATAACATTTAGTAAAGAACACGATCGAACTAGTACTATAATATTATTAGGGACTTAAGATTTTATGTTCAAAAGAACTATCTACCATCCTGCTCACCCAAATAGGTTCACTAAACTATCCGCATAACTACTACTATTCGTATGGACTTCGGTAATGTTATATAAAAACTCACCACAACTCCTTTAATTACTACTACAACATCAAAAGATAATAAAAATAATACTACGAAACACTACCGTAATCAACAATATTATAGTAATCTATTGTATTACCCCCAAAATAAATATGACTTTGAAGACTTTGTAGATTAAAGTATTTCTTATTTTTTGATTTACGCGTTTTGTCAATAAACTGTTCTTTACCAAAATGTTGTTTTTTAACATTTTTATCAATTCCCAAACCTCTATCAATTTCATTAAGTTTATTACACCTCACTTTCCAAAAAATCATAGATTTATCCAAAATTTCATTCCTAAAATTATATGACAAAATTTCAACTTTTGATTTCATAGATAATAATTGTTTAAAAAAATTAATTAACGAACAAGGAAAGAAACCTTTAATTAAATCTATGAAAGTTATGTGATCCTCTGATACTTCAAGTTTCCAAATATCATTGAGATTTTTAATATGTTCAAGAGTAATATGATTAATAGGATCTAAAATTT